CCACTGCAGCAAGGGTGTAGGGGAATTGGGGTGCGCACCCTCCCATCTTCCACCCACCCCATTGTTCAGACATCTTGACATTACGGACATCTAACACATAACAACTGGGATGTAACCAACCTTGCTTTCTGGAGCATATATTTATTGACAGCATTGTTGATTCAAGTAGAGCAATAGTATCGATTTTGCTTACGCCATTACGTTTGCTACACAGGAGTACCGTGTGTACGTGATCATCTTCGCACGGGGCTTAACTGTTGTGTTCGTTACCACTGAAGTCTGCACGGAAATCACACGTGTGAAATCATGTTTCGCATGAACGTTTCAAAAACAATTGATAAATGTAGATATCTATCTTTAAAGGCATGTTGAAAGCAACACAAGTTAACTTGATGACGTGTTCTTTTTGTTTTAAAAAGGATAGCTTACACAGGTATTCAATGTCTACGAGTTTGTTGTGTGTTCCAATGGTAGTACAAGTGTTCCCAAGATGTCATTCAGTCCGTACCGTCCGTAACACTGAAACTCAAAACACACATGCTGTGAACTGCACGAGACAATACCGTTAGCATGGGCTGTGAACTGTAAGAGACAACACCGTTAGCATGGTGGATGGCTAGTGCGCAGCATGTTCGGCTACCCAACCTCACCCCCCAACCCCACCCCCGATTCCCCTCATAAAAGTTTATGTGCTATTGATTATTCTGTCCAGACTGTCTACTTATGATCAGCCGTCTGTCTCAGTATCAAGCCGGTCATAAACCACTACAGATTACAGAGCTTGGAGCCTGATACCCGTCGCACACTCCCGCCGCCGTCCAATAAACTACATGCATCTTCCAGTCAAGACAATCGTGTTTCCTGTAATATGGAAATCACAGAAACAGTTTTCCTTTGATAGAACCAACTTGACTTCTCGGGAGATGGTAAACACTTAATGATAGGGACTTATTGAACGTTATTCCTTATTTACAATTCAATATCGTAGCATGAGCCGATGCATATATGGAGGAACGGACGCAGATCTCAGGGAGTGGAGCGTCTCCAACGTGTTGCAGAAACAAGGAACCAAATACAGCCATGCTCCGACTGACTTGAACACGAGTTATACCGATACACTGTCCCGAGATATCCGTTCTTTCTCTAACACTATATTTTTATATATCCTACACTTGTGTATTTTCTCAGACCAAACAGAACATGGTTGTAGTGAGTGGACCGGTATCTTGTACATCTGGTTATAAGGGGTAGTTGGGTTGCCTGTGGCTACAGCGTTCGCCCGGTACACCCAAACCATGGTTCGAGTCCCCATGTGGGAGCACTTGCTAATGGCCCCCGATGTGAAATTGCTGGAATAATACTAAAACACGCTCACTCCCATACTCACTCACGCATCTTCACATTCAGTCCGTACCGTCGGAAGCTTCATGATATACCCACATACATCCTTGTGATTAAAGGTTCATGTTATTTAAACAATGACGACATTCTATAAAAGCTTAAGCATCCCGTCTCCTGGACCAGGTCGACGCACTCAATGCGGATCCTCTGGTCACATGTGCTGCATTATAACACAGGTGTCATGACTGCACATTCCGTTAGTCATAAGCCACGTGACATGCTGCCTTCATTATGATGTAGCGGTAATTGCCACGTGAATGTCAGAGTGCTGGAGCAGCATCTGGGTTAACACCCCTGTCCCATCTCCTCATCCCGACACACGGGCCTGGCAGGTCTACCCCCATACACGAGGGTGGACCCTTCGTCCCACAACCAGTACGACTCGTGGTTCTAAGCCATTGGGCGCAGCTACCACAACGCTCAGTTCATACATCTCTGTCCCCGTGTGGGTCTATCCAGCTGTCCGTCTGGTAAGATTGACATCGGTTTACTTAATATTTAACTTCTACAAATGGCCATGATACTGGGTGCACCTGCCCCAAATTAGCCACTTTACCAGGTTGCACGTCAGCCTGAGAACACGGGCAAATGACAGGAAGGAATGGCTTAGGTTACACATTTGGTGACACAGGACCACGCAGTAGATTCCTTTACTACCGACAAGGTTCATACAAAAAGGTTAGTGTTGTTACCAGGTTCAAGTGGCAATGGGGGTGGGTCAATACATCATCGTCGTGGTGGAGGTGATGATGGAACCGTTACCGCCGAGAAGAGGTGGTGGGGGTAAGGCACTATTGAGATTAGCGCGTGCCTGCGTACGTGCGCGCGTGCATACGAGCTTACGTGTGTGTGTGTGTGTTTGTGTGTGTTTGTGTGTGCGTGCGTAAAGCGCCATCAAGAATGGAGAGAGTGATCAAGGCACCACTGAGAATGGTGTGTGTGTGTGTGTAAGATATCATCTACCTTTAACAAAGACGATGTTATTGAGTGCGGGAAAGGAGTACAGAGTGTTGTGGCTCCCTGTCTTGGAGTCGCGATACTGTCTACTGTTTGGTTACAGTTGATTCCGAGTGTTGATGTTGTCCTCGATAATGTCTGTATTTTGGTTACAGCTGATTCCCGAGGCTGATGTGGCAGAGTATGGGTACTGTGCCGGGGTCATGGACGAACACAGATGGTCTTGCTGAAGACGTGCTGTACAGAGAGGCTTGGTGTGCTGGAATGCCAGGCTTTGGGGAGATACTCGTCTGTAGAATTCTATTGATTCTATTTCGTATAGAAATGGATATGGTTGTTAAATCTTTGAAACTTCCTCGGTCCATAGAAGTGTCATGGTTGTAAGAATATATACTTTCAGAAGGGACATGCTTGTGAAAATATATTTGGAAGGGACATACTTTTAAAATAATTTCTTTTAGATATGACAGTTTTGTAACAATATATCCTCTTAGGAAGGGCAGGTTTGTAAGAATATGTTCTTATATATATAGTTATGCCATGCATACAAGACCTTGGTCTACAGGTGGGGCATGTTCATAAGACCATGGTCTACAGATGGGGCAATTTATAGGGCCATGGTCTACATATGGCGTATATTTCTAAGACCATGATCTAGAGGTGGGGCATGTTAATAAGACCATGGTCTACAGATGGGGCAATTTATAGGGCCATGGTCTACATATGGCGTATATTTCTAAGACCATGATCTAGAGGTGGGGCATGTTAATAAGACCATGGTCTACAGATGGGGCAATTTATAGGGTCATGGTCTACATATGGCGTATATTTCTAAGACCATGATCTAGAGGTGGGGCATGTTAATAAGACCATGGTCTACAGATGGGGCAATTTATAGGGCCATGGTCTACATATGGCGTATATTTCTAAGACCATGATCTGCTGGTGGGACTTGTTAATAAGACCATAGTCTACAGTCGGGGCATGTTTATAAGACCATTGTTTACAGGTGGGGCCATGTTTATAAGACCATGGTCTACAAGAGGCTCATGATCATATGACTATGGCCTGCTGGTGTCGCATATTTCTACAGGTGGGCATGTGTGTAAGATTTCGGAGGAGTATGTTGGCCAGAGTTTATGCTCATCACAGAACATCATCTAAACTCGTAACCTTGGATATTCTTAATCTGACACACGGTGTCAAATAGTTGTCAGATTGTAGGATGCAGCTGAAGCAGAGACACCCAACAGTGACATGCATGAGACGAGCGAAGGACCCCGATGTAAGACTAACTTGCCTCTTCCCGAGTGTCTCCATCCACCCGTCCCTGGCGGGGTGGAGCACCCGAGCGTGCAAGACGTTACTGCACTAGCCGGCTACATGAGCAGCCTGTCTGGATGAGCCAGCCTTTATGACGGGAGATCTATTTAGAAGGGCAGACATGTAGCAAACATGTCCAGGCACGGGTAGATGACGGGGTAGAAACCGGGGTAGAAACACGATCAGCATGTTGACGTCAGTGTCCTGGCGATGCTGGGCCCTTATTCTCGAAACGTTCGTAGCCCTAAGAATTCTTAACTTTGATCGTAGCCAATGTGTTAAGAATGGGCTTAAGAAGTTCTTAGGGCTACGAACGCTGGTGTAGCTGAGACACGTTTGTGCTGGACACAGTGACACCCTCAGCCATACCCCTCCCTCGTCCATCAGTACAACACATGAAACACCCCGTCAGACCGTGTCCTCCCCCCTCCATCAGTACAACCATACACTACATGAAACACCCCGTCAAACTGTGTTCCTGTCCCGTCATCTACATCAATGTCCTCTGTCTGCTGTAACTGTATGGCAATGAAACGACAAACAGTACACCGTGTCGGAAGTCGTACAACACTGCTGGTTACAGACTGCATGGTGAAATATGTGTTATAGAGACAGTAGTCTGATGGAGAGCACACACCGAGGAGAGACGCCGAGATCCATATCAATCATACCATGGTGCTGTATCAATATTGCCTTAAAGTTCTGATGGGCATTCATATAATTCAAATCCATAAATCCGTGTATGGCGAAATCTTAAACCGAAATGTACAAAACTGGACATTTTAAGTAATATATATTGAAAGTGCAATGGTTCTAATGTCAAGTGGATTTGAGATTACTCAACCCACCTCACAGTAATCAGTTCTACGGCCATCAACGTGTGCTAGAAAGGGTTTCAGCTACAGCCAACATATCAAGTGTTCAACTAAAGACCAGCATGACCAACATGACCAACATGACCTTCCGCACCCTCTACTAACGGCCGCCAGAACATTCGTCAGAATGAAACACTTCTGAACAAACCGGAGGCTACAGTGGAAGCCGTCTGTGTACAATGCATCTCGTGCTTCAATTGATTTCCAGCACTAGTTACAAAGCCGCTGTCGGTAACGACTCTTCCCATACAAGCAGGTATCCAGGTAGAATCTCGCGCATCCTGACACCAGTCAACAAGGTCGCCCGACGCCATGTGACGGCGTGGGACGACGTCCCGTCAACAAGTTACCGGGACCGAGCAGCGATCTCCGGAACTCCGCGTTTACGTGTGTGGGTAAACAGTGCGATGTATGTAATTAAATCTAAAATGTTTGAGGACTTACCTGGCGGACAGAGGCAGCTTCCTACGGCCCTCTTGACGACGTCAGATTTGTGCATACGTTCCTCCAGGTGCTGCAACAGACATGCGATTAGTCTCCATCGTGCCGGCACCACCATGCTTATCTCATGTTTGTGAGAGCATGTTATCATATGTAATCCATGTTGTAAACTGAGAAAGCTGTGAATCCTAACGCTCTTCCGTTGACGACACGGATACGGCGACCGGCGGCGCCTCCAGATGGCATGACGTTAACCAAAAGATGAAAGCACTTAGCCAGAATAATGGGATAGAGTTACTTACCTCCTGTATGAGCTTCTGCACTTTCATGTCAACATATTTATTGATATTATTTTTATACTCTGAGCATTCTTTCTCCAATTTTCCCACTCTGTTTTGGAGAGAAACCAGCGAGTCGTGGTAGGACAAAATCGTCCAAGCGACAAAGGCTATTAGAAGACTGAGCAAAGTAATTCCAAGACATGCGAAAATCCACAAAATAAAACGCGCACACGGGCTATATGTCCTGCCCGAACCACCAGTCCGGTTCTTCTCCATTTTGGAGATTCCTGGAAAACTTTTCCTAAGTTCCGAAAAGTTTTCTGTCCGTCATGAACACCGTGTAGTAATCCGAGTGAGCCGGCCTGCAATACCCTATTCCTGCTGCCGCCGTCACCGAGCGAGGGATGACCCACTCGGACGCAAGGGGTGGAGCGGAACAGTCCACTGCAAGGGGGCGTGGTCCACGGATGGGGCTACATATCATCTCATTGACGGGGCAGTAAGAGCGCAGTAACAAATCATCGCCCAGATATGCTGGTGCCCCTTCAGCTCAGCGTGTCAGTCTCCGCCTCCAGATCGCTCGTTCATCCCGCAGTCTGACATGAATGGACGGCTATTACTACAGTTAGACATCAGCGTATTGCGTCGCCTCACGCGAGCGTTCTGCTCAAATAGCAACGCTTCCAATACAGAAAAACTGAAGGGTATTTTGCACATCTGAGAAGCAGAAGTTGCAGGAAGTGCGCGTCAGTGGAGTGAAGTATACAAGCAGAAGTGTTCGTCTTACGCTTGTCGTGGTAGATTTGTCTGAATATATCTCGTCTCTAGAACACGTGTACAATGCTGATGTACCCCCTCCTTCAAAACACATGTAGTGTTATGTATCACACTTCAGGGTATATATTAATGTTATATCCCATCTTTCACACGCGTGTATTATGGTGTTATATCTGATGTTACACACGTGTATTACAGCGTTATATCCTTTACACACGTGTATCACAGTCTTGTATCCCATCATTTACACACGTCATAGTGTTATATCCAATCCTTTACACACGTGTATAATATTGTTATATCTCTTCTTTCACACACGTGTATTATAGTGCCTATATCTGATGTTGCACACGTGTATTATAGCGTTATATCTCATCCTTTACACAAGTGTATTAATAGTGTTATATCCACCCTTTACACACGTGTATTATGGTGTTATATCTGATGTTACACACATGTATTACAGTGTCATATCCCATCCTTTACACACGTGTATCACAGTCTTATATTCCATCCTTTACACACGTGTATTATAGTGTTATATCTCATCCTTTACACACATGTATTACAGTGTTATATCTCATCCTTTACACACATGTATTACAGTGTTATATCCCATCTTTTACACACGTGTATTATGGTGTTATATCTGATGTTACACATATGTATTATAGTGTTAGATCCCATCCTTTACACACGTGTATTATAGTGTTATATCCCATCTTTTACACACGTGTATTATAGTGTTATATTTGATGTTACACACGTGTATTATAGTGTGATATGTCATGCTTTACATACGTGTATTATAGTGTTATATCCCATCTTTACACACGTGTATTTTAGTGTTACATCTCATCCTTTACACACGTGCATAATAGTGTTATATCCCACCATTTACACACTTTTTACGGTGTTATAACCCATTTCTTACAAGCATGATGTATCATACTGACAGACAAGCATCACATCTTTAACACACATGCATTAAACTGAAACATCCCCTCTCTAAGAGGTGTATTATACTACTAATACCCTTGTCCTACACACGTGTATCTTGCAGCAAGGCCTATGAATGCTGCTGGTACCAGTCTGTCCAAGACCCGGCATGGTGAGGCAGTCGTGATGTTGTCATGCTACTAGAATGGTATTTCGGCAATCCTCCTCTCAAGAGGTGTCTTGATTACCTACAGAGAAAAGCGGAGCTAATTGACACAATATGAGTAATGGGAATTAATTATCGCTGGCATAATGAACGTTCTATGTATGCATAATGTCTCATAACACATTGTCATGGTACACAGACAGAAGCGCACAAACCGTTCACGTAGGATCGTTCTGAAATCCGTTATTATCTTCCTGAAAGATGATAGATGGTTTTAAGTCTCAATAGCAGCACTGGTAAATATTGATCTGAGATAATCGTATAACAGAGTTTCGAATAGGATATTCTGTTTATTACTCTTTGACATTAAAGAAAGAAAACGAAGAAGACGGTATTTTCGTATGGTTCAATATGATTAACGTCCACGTTATTAATAGCAGATGACGTCATACAGTTTTTCTCAACAATGAAGCGATATGATCTTCATTCTAACCTTAGGGGTAAATATAATGTCATTTTCTTGCACTGAACACGATAATGTTTCAGAGAAATTATTTTCTTTTCTAGTATATCAATGTATAAAGAAGATAATAATGAACACGTGGTCACACGGCCATGTTCAACATGGGTCGAGGGTGCGTGAAAACCTGTGTCTGGATGTAGTGTGACGGAGTCGTTACACAGCGTCATCACAACATCATCTGCTACTAAGGATTGCAGCAGTTGAATGCAGGTATGGTGCGTCATCTGTAAGTCGCCATTTGACTACCGAAGAATTAGGTAAATACATGGGCAGACATTGGAACCTATGTCAAAACAACGTTGTAAAATGGTGTCAGCCAACGTTTAGGCGGGTATGGAATCGATGTCCGATGTTTGGATCGGGTGGTCGACAGCGTTCCGCCACGGAGTGGGAAGACTGCTGACTATTCCGTGACTGAGAAATGACTGTGGAACGCCAGTGATGGTAACGTTTCTACTCGTAGAGTGTTTAATCGTCTCCATGAGACCATTGGTCTGAACACCACGTCAATTTGGACAGAATAGGGCCACGAAGTGATCGTAACTCCCATACTTACAGGCAGACTTACGACTGGCGTAGCGCTACGATCGCTTTGTGGAACGGGCACCAGGACAGGTATCCAATATTGATGAACCGTAATGCTGCATAAACTTCACAGATCGTCGAAATTCCAAAATTGTAACGTAGCCGAACAATTAAGGTGTGCGAAATAAGGAAACAGGTATGCGATATAGGGATGACATTCTGAACAATTAAAGGTGTGCGATATAGGGATGACATTCTGAACAATCAAAGGTGTGCGATATAGGGATGACATTCTGAACAGTTAAAGGTGTGCGATATAGGGATGACATTCTGAACAATCAAAGGTGTTCGATATAGGGATGACATTCTGAACAATCAAAGGTGTGCGATATAGGGATGACATTCTGAACAATCAAAAGGTGTGCGATATAGGGATGACATTCTGAACAGTTAAAGGTGTGCGATATAGGGATGACATTCTGAACAATCAAAGGTGTGCGATATAGGGATGACATTCTGAACAATTAAAGGTGTGCGATATAGGGATGACATTCTGAACAATCAAAGGTGTGCGATATAGGGATGACATTCTGAACAATTAAAGGTGTGCGATATAGGGATGACATTCTGAACAATCAAAGGTGTGCGATATAGGGATGACATTCTGAACAATTAAAGGTGTGCGATATAGGGATGACATTCTGAACAATCAAAGGTGTGCGATATAGGGATGACATTCTGAACAATTAAAGGTGTGCGATATAGGGATGACATTCTGAACAATCAAAGGTGTGCGATATAGGGATGACATTCTGAACAGTTAAAGGTGTGCGATATAGGGATGACATTCTGAACAATTAAAGGTGTGCGATATAGGGATGACATTCTGAACAATCAATGGTGTGCGATATAGGGATGACATTCTGAACAATTAAAGGTGTGCAATATAGGGATGACATTCTGAACAATCAATGGTGTGCGATATAGGGATGACATTCTGAACAATCAAAGGTGTGCGATATAGGGATGACATTCTGAACAATTAAAGGTGTGCGATATAGGGATGACATTCTGAACAGTTCAAAGGTGTGCGATATAGGGATGACATTCTGAACAGTTAAAGGTGTGCGATATAGGGATGACATTCTGAACAGTTCAAGGTGTGCGATACAGGGATGACATTCTGAACAGTTAAAGGTGTGCGATATAGGGATGACATTCTGAACAATCAAAGGTGTGCGATATAGGGATGACATTCTGAACAATCAAAGGTATGAGATATAGGGATGACATTCTGAACAATCAAAGGTGTGAGATATGGGGATGACATTATGAACAATCAAAGGTGTGCGATATAGGGATGACATTCTGAACAATCAAAGGTATGAGATATAGGGATGACATTATGAACAATCAAAGGTGTGAGATATACGGATGACATTCTGGATGAGTACCTAAGACAGTATGTTGGTGCAACCGGACCGGACTTCATCCGAAAACGCTATCGTGCCAGGGTCGTAGAGACTATTGACGGCATGGAGTGGCTAACACGGACTCGCCAGTGTTCTTGGTGAAAAGTGGAACTATCTTCCTTGGACAGCCGTCCGGACAGTGGAGTATGGACGACAGTGGCAGGCTATGGCGGCATCACAGGAACCACAAACACGCTACTGAAAGTGTTTTTAACGACGTCTTCGTGGTTTTTACCTTTAAGTTTTGATCAGAGACTCTCATTTTGACTTTTGATTTGACTGATTCTTGGACACATTTTGTTTGTTGACATCGTTGCTGGCACATGCAGACGGAATTTCAATCTATATGCATTTCTTCACACGATATGGCCTTTAGCTGTTTCAACACAATTTGACGTACTACCAACAAGTCGTAATTGTCATGACAACAAACCGCCCGGATGCTTGGCCTCAACACAGGACAGATATTTTGCCAGGAAATCGGTGTCTTATTTCTTTTCAACAATAATATAAAGTCCGTGCACACCTTTGTCTGTGATTGTTCCTATGATACTGTGAATTATGATGAGTCAAGGAAAGTTACATGGGAAATAATCAGAATATAGACAAGACCGTCATGATACAGCTGCGGACATCTTGACGCACGTCACTGAAGGCAATGTAGACAGCTACCTTCAACACAGGATTATATATCGGTGTAAAGTCTAACTGCCTTAAGCGCCATCTCAAGGGGGCCCCTAATTAATTAGCTAACACGTCCCCGGGCGAGGCGACTCTCACATAGATTCTCCAGTACGCGTGCAGTCAACATGTAGGTCTTGAGCCTTGCCTCAGGGTAATGCTGCACTGGTCATTCCTTCAGCAAATCTCTTTGAACATCAACGTGTACATGTATACACGATGTATTCATACATATACAGATTTACAGGTGTCTGTGAGTGAGTGGTAGTGTTGGTTAACCTATTGTCTGGTAATTGCTGATGTGTTCCTGGGGCTTATAACATGTC